AATAAAATTGATTAATGCAATATTTAACGATAAAATTAACATAAATGTGTACAAAAAATTAAACAAAAATTATAACAAACGGATGAAACTGTCTAAACAATATATCTAAAATATGAAAATTTGTTCAGTCTATTCTCTCTGTAAAACATTTCTTTAAAACGTATCTTATAATTTTCGTATTATAATAACTTTAAAAGAAAAAATGTATTTCCAAATAATATACATATAGAGAAACAAATTATTCATAACTCTAATAAGAGTGGCATTTTTTATTTAATATTGTTTGTGATATTATATTATTATTATTACAACATTAAATTTTTCACTTTGATTTACGATATCCATTTAATGAAATGACAAATACTTGACTTTTGGAGTAGCTTATGTCACTCTGAAATCAATAATAAAATGCATAATGGTAAAAAATTTTTAAATAAATTAATCAACTTACTTCAACAGTAACTCCTACAAGTGCATCAGAATTACGATATAATTCTTTATGTAAAGATATCATGATGAATTGCATAAGAGTTTCTTGAGACCGAATAAAAGAAACGATATTCTTAATATTCACTTTATCTAATGCCGCGTCACCTTCGTCCATAATGAAAAACGGAATTTGTCTATAACTGTAAAGAAAAAAAGATTAAATAGATTGTAGGCCACACAGATTTTTGCATAACGCGTAAGAAAATCAACCAATCACAGTTCCTCTTTTCCATGAAATGGAAAGAAAAAATGAAAGAATTATGATTGACTGATTCTCTAATACATTCTATACATTATGCATTATGCAAAAGTTTATGTTGCGGCCTTATGTTTTAACTTTCTTAGGCCCATTTTCATAATGTATGGTTACTTAAAGATTAATGGTTACCAACAGATTTAACCAAGAAATTCATGAATGAATTTCATTGATGATAATCTTTAGGTAATCATATATTGTGAAATTGAACCTTAATATTCAATCGTTATCTATATATTAATTGAAAGCATCCAAAAGCATGTAAAACGTTTCATTAATCTTAGGATTAAGATGTACCGTTGAATTGCAAATAATAATGCCAAACTAGCCATTGACTTTTCTCCATCAGATAAGTATTGCAATGGTTGAAAACCTTTATGCGGTGCTATGCAGTTATAAATTATATTGCCTGCATATGGTTCCTCGAGATTATCTGGTAAGATAATTGCTTGAGCCGATGTGTTATTAACCAAATTCTGTGTACAAAAATTGATCAAATAAAAATTGTAATGTACGCAAAAACAAACTACATAACAAACAAAATTTTGAAAACACACATAATTATAAATACTAACTTTATATATAAGATCTATTTCTGTACTAATGCATTCCAGACAATCTGAAAACGATTTGTATCTTTTTGCCTTCACTGATTCAAATTGCATTTTTATTTCATCGTATTTATCACGGTAGTTTCGAAGATTCGTATTTATTTTTTGCATCCGCTGCTTTATAATATCAATCTTTTCATCAATCTATATATTTATCCAAATATAGAGTTGAATTTTAAAAATATAAATCTAACATAAAACATATAACATTAAACATATATATTGTGTAAACATTACTTTAAGATTTACTAAATCATCAAATTCATTCTCAATTTTCGTAATCTTCTCAATAAATTGAAGTGCCATGTCTCGCAATTTTTCATTTGTAAAATTGCAGATTTCTTCAGGAAATTGCGAGAAATCAATTTTTGTTAATACTTCACAATCTCCTGACGATTCTATATTTGAACTTGAGCTACTTGTAAAAACGCTTTCTTCTAATCTACAATGTGTTTCTGACATTGGAATACTAATATCTTCCATCTGTAAAAGTAATTGTATTAAAATCGTTAAAATAATTAAACACAATTAATATTGAGAAATCAAACCAATATGCAATATTTAATAAGTTTTTGTAATAGATCTCTTATTTTTAGATTCTTTAAAAATTCGTAGACCTTGCATTCTTTAAGTATAATGTTGCATTCTATTTTTATCTGTCGTATTTTTCTCTGTACAGCAATGTGTGCCTTCTGACCCTCCAAATATAATTTTCCATTAACGCTAATTTGCGATTTGTATTCAGCTAATTTTTTTGTCATATTATCCAAATCCTTTGCTACTTTTGTATAATTGTCCTTTAACTTCGACATTTTTGTTTCTTCTTGCTCAACTTTAATTTTTGCATGACGTTCTTGCTGACACACTTTATTCCATTCTGTATCAGCATGTTCTACAGCTTGTTGCCATTTCAATACTTTATCTTTTCACATAAAATTCGTATATATACATATATAACAATATTAATAATTATAGGTGATACTACTCAACAATAAAAAATAGGGAACACTTTCGAACTCAAAATTACGCAATATTTAGAATACCATAACTCAGTGAAAAATCATCGCAAACAAAAAATTAAAAAAGTATTTAAAAGCTTGAAATCTCTACTTTTGAAATCGGTAATTGAAATTTCAATCTAACTGATTCTTCACGAAACAATACGGACACAAAACCCGTCAAATCTGAAAATTTTTTATAAACTTTACAAAAGTCTATGGCGTGAAGTAAGATTCACACAAAAATGTGGTTTAAAGCAATCGAAAGAATGAATCTTTACCTTTAATTTGCTTTTTTATTGAGCGTTGTACGTTTTTTTTTCATCATCCTAGTGAAAATTTTTCTCATAATTTTTATTCTCATAATTTTTTCTTATAATTTTACGAATGGAACATTTTTCAGAAATATTCAGAAATATTTAGAAAGTTTACATCTTCTCTCAAAATTTTTCTTACAAGTGAATTCTGAAATATTCTGAAATTTTTCATCTCATAATTTTAAAAATATTTTAAAATTTTTTAGATTTTATAATACTTCATCAGAAATTATACTTACAAAAAATAATAAAAATTTTACGATATTTCATAATTAACATATATGAAAAATTCTGAGAAAAGATTTTCTGAAAAATGTTTCAATTCGTATAAAAAAAGAGAGAAAATTATAAAATTATAGAGAAATTTTTAAAAATTATATGAAAAATTCTGAGAAAAATTTTTACCAAAGCAAGTTATTGAACGTTGAAGCAAAAATGATCACTTTTGCTTCAATGTTCAATAAAAAAGCAAATTAAAAATAAAGATTCATTCTTTTGCTGCTGCTGTACATCACATTTTTACTTCAGTTCATAGACCTTTATAAAGTTTGTAAAGATTTGACAGATATCCATTTATCCGTATAGCTCCGTAAAGGATCAGTAGGATTGAAATATCAATTACCGATTTCAAAAGTAAAAATTTCAAGTGCATTTTTGATTTTTTGTCTGCGATGTTTTTTCACCGAGTTATGGTATTCTGAATATTGCGCAATTTTGAACGCGTTTGAAAATGTTCCTTATTTTTTGTTGGGTAGTGTATTAACAAAGATATTATTTGAAAATTTACTTTTTATATCGTTCTCGTTTTCGAAGCGCAATTGATCTTTGATACGATTATATTGTTGCTCAAGCTCTAATTGTCTCGTTTTTTTTTCTTGATAAATTCTAAAAATTGATGTTATTAAATTTATTTTCTTATACATATATGTATACCTAAATTAAAAATCATACATTAAACTAAATTTCATACCGCAAATTATTTTTCTCATAGTAGTTAACATCCGGCACATTAATATCGTTACAAAAATCAACAAAGATTTCATTCTTAATTGAATTAATATATTTCTCCATATTTTTAATTTCTTTATTTCTTTTTTGCATATTGTCATCAATTACAACTATTGTCAGCTAAAAATTTTGCGGATAATGAAAGTATCTTTCTTTACAGATCAATAAAAATTTTTAATTATATATGTATATAAATATATACATTAAAATACATACATTTAATGCAATTTTTTTTCTCTCAACCATGTCTAATTCCTTCTGTATCTCAACAATTTCATTTTCCTAAAAATGTAAATTTCATGTATTATTTGCTAACTAATTTGCTAACAAGTCGTACGTTTATAATAAAATTAAAATATAAACTATTCCTGTCTTTTAATTACACACAGTATCTTTTATATCTGTTTCCACATATTTATTTTGGCGTGTGAGTGCATTAATTTCTATATTAATTATATCAACTTCAGATTGCATAAGAGAAATTTTAGGTAAATTTCTGAGTTCTCGCATTAATTGTGCCTAAAAAATTGTGCGAATTATATAAATTGTTATGTGTCACTTATTATATCAATCTTAGAAAAAATTTACAACCTTTTGTTCCATCAATGTTAGTATTCGTTGTTCGTCCCATTGTTTTGCTTTTACTATTAAATCAGCTAATCCTCCAGACATTAGACCATTTTTACGATAAAAACATCCGTCCAATGAGATACACTAAATGTGATAAATAATTTAATATAAATAAAATTAAAATGTAATAATAAATAAAATAATATAAAATACATGCGCATACGTGTGCGCGTCATGCATATTGTTTAGTTTCCTAAAATATTATTTTTAATATTTATTGTGTTTTTAAATATGTATATTATTACATCATATGCTTCCTGTTTATCATCAGGATATGCTAACATTTTTGCATGTTCATTAGTCTCGCAAACTAGAGTATTTTTAGTGACAAATAAAACTGCATTATTTATATGTGATGATGAAATGTTCAATACATCATATAATAATTTAACATTTTGCGGTTCTTCTATAGCACTGTAATATATAACAATGTTATATGTTATATTATACAAAAAAAAATTTTTTTTTCAAATTACATACCGTAATCTTTCATTTAAAATTATACTTTTTATTGAATCAAGTGGTAAAAATATTTCAAAGTCTATTTTATCTCGTTTTAAAAGTTGAATACACTGAATTGCTGTGCGCGTGGTATCAACGACAATGGCATTTATATATTGACCAAAAACCTTAGTTACAGCAACATTATAACGTGAATGAATAGGCTTACATAAATCAAATAAGCGACCATACTAAAAAATAAGATTATATATTTTTTAACTTTTATAGATTATATCCATTATGATCATTATTTAAATTCTAGTAGTAATTAGTACAAATACCACGCCAGAGTAAATCTGTTTCAACATATTAATTGTTTCATTTTTCTTATTCCTATGCAAAATATTATTCTTATCAATATCTGCCTCAGAAAACTCCTCTGTAATCTGTACAATATCATTCTCCAGATTTAACAATTTATTTCTTGTTTCAGTAATTTTTTTATTTAATTCTTGTATTTTTGCTGTTTTTTCCATTAAAGTTGTTTTGGATTTGGTACTTGAATCTTGCAATTTTGTAAATCGCGTTTCGAGATTCACTTTCTTTAATGTCATCTGTTTTTCTTTGTCCTCTAATTCTTTTTTACATCTATTTTCATTATCAAGTTTAGCCTGATCTTCTCGCTGATCATGCATCAAGCTTTTTATTTGTTTTACAGAATTCTGTGCTCGAAATTCAACTTCGTTCGTCAATTCCATGTAACGTTTAACCTTACGTATAAATTATTATATTAAGCAAAAATTTATTATAAAAAATGATAAAAAAACCAAAATATTTTTTTCCTAAATTATTATAGTATAGATTTATAGATATTATATAAGTGTTAACAGATATAACAACAGTACAGTATACCTGAGAGTTACTGAGTTCTATAATGCTCGTCTGTGACGCTTTTCTTAATTCTGTTAATTCATTGTTTATTCGTTCTAACTCATTATTTAATTCTTGGACGATTCGTTTGTTAGTATCGCGCGCTTTATTCGCACAGTCTAGAGATATGCGAGCGCTTTCACGTTTTTTCTGCCAATATAAAATATTATCCTCGAAAATAATGTGTTCTGTCTTCCTCTGTTCAATAATATTTTTCATTTTCAGGATATCTTGTTCAATATCTTCGAGGGAACTGGATAATAACTTAAATTGCGATTTTGTATCTTCCAATAAAATTATCATGTTCTTCTTGTTGTGTAGATACTGATCTATTTGCGATTTGATTTTTCTTTCCTTATCTTGTAAAAATGCAACTCTCCTCTTAATACGGAGCAATAGAACTAATTGATATTTTAATTTGTATTTATTCTGTAATGTTAAATAATTATTTTATCACGAGCATATGGAAGATACGAATAATAATATTTTTATAACAACATAAATAATTTATAAAGATTTTTACATATATTATAGATTGACAATAAATATGTAAGACATACATGTTGTTCTTTTAGTTTTAAATATTTGTCTGTTTCTGCTTTTTCCATAATGGCGTATTTCTTTTGAATTAATATCTGTTTTTTCAATTTATTCTCAAAATTTATTTTTTCTGTCATGTTCAAAAGTTCTAATTTTAATCTGTAAATTATTAATATAATTATAATCTATTATTAAAATCTAGTAAGGGAAAGTATCACTTTTTACCATTGGATCGTTTTATTTCTACATTTTCTTGTGTATTTCCTTTCATGATTATAATAATGATATCACACAAGAAAAAATTGATACATTGAAATGAAATTAATTAATCCTTATTCATCATATCTTTACGAAATGACTGACAATTATATTTCAATCATTTAAAAACTTATTCAGAGAGAGTTGCTGAACTTTAAATTAGTTTTTAAATGATCAAAGCATATATAACTGATAGCGATTTCATAATACTTTTTCATAATGTAAATAAGGATTATATTAATATAATCTGTATTTCAAGTATATCAATTTTTTGAGTGTACCATCATTATTATAACTTTCGATTTCAATAAAAAAAAACATACAAAAATGTAGAAATAAAAAAAGATCTGTGAACAATCGCGAAAAAGTGAAAGTTATATCCTACTTTTATCGAATTTCACAGCAAATATTGAGTGCGTTCCGAATTACGCATGAAGCGCATGATGTATTGTTTTATCTTTTTTTATTAATTGGTAAACAACAAAGACAAATTCATCATGCATTTCATGCGTAATTCGAAACGTACCTATTATATCATCGATTAAGGCGCCAAAGCGCATTTCACGCAGCGTCAAAGTGCTAGTTAAACAACTATCCCCACCTTGTGGTACGTTTTTCTTTCAAAAGTTGACAAAACTCCAGCCGCAAAAGTTCTGCTACTTTTTCATGGAACGACAAATCGCTAATTCATTACATTTAATTCATGTATGAAACTGACAATTAATGCATTTCAAAGTGCGTTTAAACTGCTTTTAAAAATGCAATTTCAGCCGCAGCATCAAAAAGCTAGCGGCGCTCTCCACTCTGCATGACATTGACTATAAGTTTCATAAGTCATCGTTTTGCCGCTTGAAATTCGAATTCTTTTTTGGATCGGAAAACCACGCAGGGGAATAATTATAAGAAAAAAAAGAAGTTCGGAGAGATCCAACTAGCGTAAAAAAAAGTAGACGTGTTTGAATTGTTTCCGACAATTAGTAATTTCGATCATTTCAAAAAATGAATTTCCGCAATGACAATGGCAGTGAACATTTTCTCTTATTTTCTAGTAATTTTTCTAGTAATTTTGCAAATTAAATTTTCTTGTAATTTTCTTGTATTTTTTGCATAATTGCACATAATAGCATTCATTGTTTCCTAATCTTTTTAGCTATTACCGATAGTAATCTATTTTGCAATGTTGCGGACAAAACACTGTCTGAGCAATTTAAACGCACTTTAAAACGCATTAATTGTTTCATATGAATTAAATATATAAAAAAAATTGTACATTAACGATTATATATAAATCCACATCAATTAGCTGTTATTTCTTCATGAAAAAATAGCAGGACTTTAACGGCTGACGTTTTGTCGACGGTTCTTTTGAAGAGAAAATGTACAATAAAGTAAAAGTAGTCGCTCAATTGTAGCTAACACTTTGAAGCTGCGAAATTGCACCTTTAGAACAAAAATATACCTATCATAATCTGCTTTGTACTCATTTGAATTAGTAATCTTTTCAAACATTGCGGTCAGATCTTTCGGCTTTTTCATTGCAAAACATGCGATGTAACCTTGAGGTATCAAAAAATTCTTTGCTTTTACGTCCAAACCCATTTCTCGCAATTCAGTCATATAATATATGTTCGTAACAATCTGCACGATAAGATTTATTAATATCAAGATTTATTAATATAAGTAAGAAAATAATTTAACGAGAAAATAATTTAACGAGTAAAAAATGTTTTAAAATTCCACCTTGTCATCTATTTTGTATTGATAGGTTCCATCACTCCAAACTCCCCTTGTGAAACTCTTTTTCTTAATGCCGTCTACAGCATTTATATTGAAAATCAATTTTACATACATAGGACTGTAACAGTAAACATTAATTATACATTTCAAAATTTATGACTCAAAATACTATAAGCTAATTCTTAAAAAATATTATTTATGAAGTTTTACTTTAAGTAATAATTTTTAAGATAATAAGGATTTATATATATATATATATA